AAATAGCTCCCCAAACCATCACACTGAAACCACCATGCTTCACAGTTGGCTGCAATCTGTTGAGCCAAAACTCTTGGTGAGGCATTCTCCAGACGCATATCCTTCTACTGTCTGAAAATTGAGCGAATCTTGATTCGTCTGAGAACAATACAATCTTCCAAAAGTCCAGAGGCTTGGTCATCATATCACTTGCCTACTTCTTTCATCTGACTATGTTGGCAGGTCTTAATGAGGGCTTCCCTCAAGCTGCTCTGCAACGATAACCCAATCTGTGGAGAATCCATTGAACAGATTTCGGGCTCATCCCACCAACTTTGGACACTTCTGCAGTCGTTAATCTGGGATCCATTTCGATGTTTCTCTTGACAGTAATTTTTGTCCTCTCCGATGGACCAGGACGACCCGGACGCTGCTTAGTTGTTTCCTTGCCGTGTTTCCTGAACTGCACGATGATTCTGTTGACTGTCGAAAGTGGGATTCCCAAATTCTGTGAAATTTGCCGCTGACTTATTCCACCATCTGCTCGATCAACTATCCTTCCTCTAACAAAATCTGACAATTCGAGAGAACCTTGAGTTCTAGGCATGTTGTAGCACAAGATAATTAGTGTGCGGACCATTTTCATTTATATAGTGCTCTGTGAACACAAATTAGTTAGCATAAATCAGTTAAATGATGAAAAATTAGGTGTCTATTTACTTGTGACCACTCAGTGTACATAAAAAAACTACTTACTGTGCTTGTGATAATAAGTGTCAATTAGTTGATAATAAGTGTCAACATAATTAGTTTGCCCAACAAATAAATATAAGAAATGTTAAACTACCAAGAAAATTTTAATTAGTAAAGTATGTCACACGCTTAATAACAAATTATAAATTAAATTTACACTTGTTAATTCCACTAACAAATAAACATTATTATAAAATGCTCGGAGACCTTTAATAGTCGATATATTCCATGATGAGGCAACTTTGTGTAGGTCTTTAGCATCCACACCAACACATAAGGTAGAGTTTCGTTTTTCTTGGCATTCTTCATCAATGGTGTGTTCAAGATTTACTTCAGGAGACAGAAGAATTACATCTGTATAAAAACAAATGAATCATTAAAAAAAATAGATATTTCTACATATACAACCTCCCTTACAAAAATGGCTACCATTACTTTATTTTAAGTTCATAACATGAATAAATTAATGGATTTGATTTGGATATTACAGGGTTCACTATTTTTCCAAGTGAAACCAAGAATATTCAAGCACCTTCCGTGACTGCACACATAATAATTTCCAGGAACCAAAAATAGTGTCATGATATGATCCACAAGTGTTAGAAACCAATAAGCATAAAATTTGTAATCAAAATCCCAAAATTGCAGACATTTTTTTTTCTACATTCCTTTTAATTCATCCATATCAGTTTCACCATTTAAACTGTTACATCAGAAAATAATTATTTTGTTACAATATATAAAAAAGTAGGTGTTACAGCTGAAGGTGCAGATTTTTAGAAGTATTGCATAACCTGTAGTGTCTAATGACTCCACCTGAACACATAGCCCATGCCTAGTGGTATATAGGACATTACATATCTCTACAAGCTAATCGTATAAAACTAATGTAAAAACACAATGTAGAAATAGAAATAAATTTATTTTAGTCCAATATTTTAAGCAATTGCTCTTTTTCAGGCTTAATATAGATAACATAATAGCTTTTAAAATACAGGAAAGTTCCAATAAAAACTCTGGAATGGATAAGCCAGTTTTGTGTTTTAAAAGTAATTTTATTTTATTGCATTTATCTCCCAACATTGTGGATTCCAATTCAATCTTCTGAAAACTTTATCATTTCTGTTACAATACCAAACTAAAGAAGTGTTTGTTCGAAATCTGCACATTAAGCTTATGCACTGTTGAAGTTTTGGAAACATTGAAAGATTTATTCACTTATCAGTCATCTGTTGCAAAAACAATGTGTACACTTTTTTCCAGATATGTTATTCCAATAGGTTTGTTTGTAACTAAGCATAAAACTACATAATGGGCTATCTGTGCAGTGCCCACCATGGGTATCAAAACCTGGTTTTTAGCATCGTAAGTCCGCAGACATACCACTGAGCCACTGGGGAGCTATTCCAATAGGTCTCAAATTTTTGATAAAAATCATGTCAACTATGGATGTTTTATTATTGTTCCAATCAATTTAGTATTGTTTTACACATTCTTAATGTATTTACAACAATGTTGGAACCTTAAGTATTGTATTTATAACTATATGGCTACTCAAATGCTTCATACCCAAACCAAAGGAATCTTGTTTTAATGTCAATTAGAAGTGAATGTATTAACATTAAAGAAAACCTGTAGGCTGAAGTAACACCTTAAAACATATAGTTTTATTAACCTTAATAAAACCTTCTATTTTGACATACTACTTCAGGCTGTAAGTTTTCTTTTTTTTTATATTAAAACAGGTGAATCAAATAATCATACCTTGTTTTATTTATTAGGCAAACATGTACTTAGCCAAAATAAAAAAAACAACTATTTTGGGTATTCTACAAGTAGCCTAAATTTAAAGCCAAACAACATATTAAAATAATATATTTTGTAAAATAATAATTTTGATAATTATAACTTTATCTTAGAATGTTTGAAAACCTTTACAGAATGAATAAGAATAAAACTAGAATTTTTGTTTCTTTGCTTATGGCAAACATACTAAGGCTATCTGCTACTGTCCCTAATTTTGATATACATACACACATATATATATACACACACACACACAGATATATGTGCATATTATATTATGTTATATGTAGTTAAATCAAATATTCATATTTATTAAATATCATTAATTCTCCAAGACTAACCTGACATCTTTTTCTCATCAGCTTGAGTTTGTGGAGTAGAGGGGTAATCTAAGCAAAAATAATATTAAAAAGAAACATTAGAGAAGTAAAAACAGACATAACTTCTACTATGATGGTGCTTCATTTGTAAACAAGGCATTAAAATGATCCCATTCATATGTTTTTTGCTTTTCTTATACCGACAAGTACATGTGTAGAACTAGTTCTGATTCATTCCCGATAGATATAAATGTTATATAAATATATAGTTTATATAAATATAAACTCAGTAGAGGAGATGTAACTTGTCCACTTTAAAATGCTCAACACATCTGCTACTACAAAAAAGTAATAAAAAACTCAGTTCATTATACATGAAAGAACAAGGTCTACACACCTAGATAATATATAAAAAAAATTATAAAAGACTTCCTAGAAGGTGTAAACAATTCAAAATTAAAATCACAGTACCAGCTCATCTATGAAAAATAAAATGTAAAACACAAAATCTGCACAAAAAATGTTTGAACATTATAATAAAACAAAATAATGAAAAACGAAAGAGAAAACAGCAATTCAAAAAGAAAAAATTAAGATATTTCTTAGTTTTTGGAAAGAACTTATCACCTTTCTTTGAATAAAGAAAAGTGCAAAAAAAATGAACCATATCTAATTTGAAACTAATAGTCTCAATGGAAAAAAGTTAGTCAACAGTATCCACACCAACTTTAGAGCTTCTCTTGTCTAGCCAGATAGTAGAATCTGAATATTATTCTTACAACAACACATCTACTACCCCCAAAGAATGGAGTACTGTTTTATGGCTATGGGCCACAAACTATGTATCTTATCTTCAGATTCTGACTCGAGACATGTTATAATCACTAAGCCATGTCCAGCCCTACTCTGATATGCCATGTTAACATCACATGAAAAACTTTTAATACAAAAGTGCACTGAAATATTTTAATGGGTTATTACCATGCAAGTTAACCCTCTGAATACAAGTGGGGGTCAAAATGCACATTTCACAACCTTTTCTGAGTTATATCCAAAATTTAAATAATCACCCTTATTACCAATGTATGTTAATAAACTTAGCATCAAAGCATAGTTTATAATTTACATTATTTAAATTTTAATTTCTTAACATTAAATGAAAATATTCAAATAAATTTTTAATCTGCAACTCTCGGTCACAACTTGCAGTTTCTCATCTTAAGATTATTTTTTTCTTCTCTTACAAGCATTTCACGTTGTTCAACTTACTAGAAACATGTTCTATAAGTACTGAAAAGCTAGAATATTAATTTTTTCAACCTCTTCTTGGTTTACTAACATATCTCTATGTCTGTTCAACTCACAGTGATATGCCCATCCCATATCCTCTATCTTTCAGAAATGTCTATAATTGCTAGTGGTCATGCTTATAACCAATAGAACGAATATATTGTGCTCCTCTGTTTAGTTTTCGCAGACAAAGACAGTAATTTACAAGAAAATCTTGAAGCGTGTTAAGTCACTGCTTCAAGCAGTAATAGAATTTCTTTAAACATGGCTTTCGTAGCTTAGTTAGAAAGCCAGGTAAATTACAATAGTTATCATACTATAGAATCTAGTGAGTGACATGTTTTTTTGGTTTTCTAAATGTCGTATTTGAAAGTTAGGTGAATTATATTTTTGATAGCAAACTTAGTAGGAAAATTAGGATTCATTAATGTGTATGATTATGAAATTATGAATTAGGATTCATTAATGTGTATGATTATGAAATTATGAATTAAGATTCATTAATGTGTAGCCTAGAGCAAAGGTAAATTCTAAATTTCTTGAATTTTTAGGAATATTTTTAATTTATTGTTACATATTTTTTGAAAAATTAACTAAAAAGTAAAAATTAGAAACATATTAGATTAGATAAAAAAAGCTTAAACGAAAAAATAAACATTTTTTATCATCAATCCTCATGTAATGTATGCAGTTTAGATGTGTACAATGTAACATGAATTGTTTATTTAATTCTTCATACACATTTCATATTAAGTAGTTTCACAAATATCAAAAGGTCAGCATTCAAGGAATGTACACTTAATAAAACAAACAAGTCTATAAGAATGAGAAATGGTAAACT